GGGACCAGGGCGGCGCGATGGACCGCCACGGCCTGCCCCTCCCCGGCCCCTCCTTTCCTGCTGGCGCTCCTGCCCGTCCCTGGGAGGGTCAGGGCTTGGCTGCCCAGGTGTCTGGAGCCCCCTGGCCCTGCCTGTCCCCAGGGGTTACCCTGACTCCCCTCCCTGTCTGTCCTCTCCACTGCCCCAGCCCAGACCCCTGGCCACTGCCAGGATCAGGACAGAGATCAGAGGGCCTCTGTTGTCTCCTGGGCCAGTGGGACTCGTCCAGGTTTGTCCCTGAGGTGGCCAGAAGGCAAGACAAGGGCAGCCCTACCCACACCCAGCATGGGTCTCCCACATGGCTTCTTCTCTGGCCTGGACACTTGGGGAGCAGCGAATAATCCCCTCTCCACCCCCACCCTAGCCCCACTGTACAACCCGGCCCCTTCCTTCCTGCGTTAGCTTCACGGTGGCCCCAGCTCTCCAGGCCTGGGATACCCCTGGTGCCCCTCAGAGGGTCCTGGGCCCTGGTGTCTGCGGCCCTGTGGCGTAGCAGCCCCTTGGGCAGGGGTGTGAGGTTGTCTGGCAGGTCCTGTCTCTGTGTGGTGTGCTGGGAGGGTCACCGGGCCCTTTTTCCAGTGACTGGAGCCTGGGACCAGTGAATAAAGGCGGCAGCACTGGGTCGGCCTCTTGTCAGTCTGTGTCCACAGCCCATACACAGCCAGAAATCCAGGGTCATGGTCAGGGCTCCTGAACAGAAATTTTGCCCAATCTCTGGGCTCCTCTAGGGGGCTCAGGACTCTGGGGTGCGGCTGTGGGAGGTGGGGGCCTCCTGGAGGCCAGAGGATGGGATGGTTCTGTGGGCAATGGGGCCATTCCCTCTGGAGGCAGCCACCGCCAGATCCACCCAGAGACCTGAGTGCATGTGACTTTCAAGCCTGAAGAGCCTGCAGGCCAGACCCCACAAGCCAAACCAGAATTTATTTTGGGAGCATCTTTTCCCAGAAGAGTATTTTGGGGGCTTGAGTGGCTCCACCGGTGGCTCTGGGAGGTATCTTCTCCTGGGGGTGGTTCCCCAGGGCGGGGGCAAAGGAAAGACGGTTCACGTAATAAACAGCCACCGAGGCCGCTGCCATGGTCACTGGAGGTGCCCAGCTCTGAGCCAAGTTCCTGGGACCTTGTGGCCTTCTTTGCTCCCCTGTACCTGTGAGGGCTTTAATGCCTGCTGGGCTGGGTTGCTGGAGCTGCCCCCCCACTGTCTAGGGATGGGGAGTGTGGGCGGGGTCCAGGGGCTGCGGGCTGAGACTGAATCGGCACTGGGCACACATCACATCCTCCAGCCAGCATGACCTAGGCTACCAAGGACAAGGCAGAACCGAGGCCCTGCCCCAAGTGCTGCCCTCAGTGACCAGCAGGTGTCCTGCTGGGAAGGTGGAGGGTGGGCTAGACCCCAGACAGCCTTTGCTGCACCTGTGAGCTTGAGTAGTTGCTGACTCTCAGCCTGTTTCCTCACATGGAAATTGGTATCTGCCTCCCAGGTGGCTGCCCAGTGCTAGTGCCCACTGCCACTGTTGGTTACCTCGTGGACAGCAGGCACAACCCACAAGACTTCAGGGCCCCTGGACAACTGCTGATGGTAGCCAAAGTCATGGCCTTGCTGTGAGCCCTAGGACACATCACACAGCCTCCAGGCTTGAGTGGCCCCTTCTGTAAAGTGAAGGTGTGGGCTGTGGTGGTCCAAAGGCCTCCCGGAAGGGGAGCTGGAGCCCCCAGGGAGCACTGGGGAATGTCTAATATCTTGCTGTATTAGTTAAAAATCTACTTGATTTTGACCCCAGGGCCCTCTGGGTTACTCCTCTGGTGGAGCTAGAAGGTGAGAGGGGCACTGACCTCAGCTCCCTTAGGCCGCACTGGGCCCTGGTATCTGCCTCCCCTGCCCACAGCCACCCTCCCTGGCCTCACTAGTGGCAGTACCACTGGGCCTGTACACTCCCTCCCTGCCTGGGTGGGCCCACGGGATACCCTTCCAGGCACTTCACTGCCACTATTCCTGCCAATTTAGCTTTTTTGTGAAATGAAAGCCTTTGGCCTGGGGTCTTTCTGCCAAGAACACCTTGGAGGTGGGAGTGGGTTTCCACCCCCCACCCCCAGAGGCAACCATTTCCCACCGTGGGTCTTTGTATTTCCATTTCCAGACAGTAGGCGTGAACTGCTGCTGGATTTTCCATTTCGTACACTCCCCCCCCACCACCTTGCCTAGACGGTGCTTTTCTCTCTCATAACTCTGGGTACATCCATGTTGAGTATTTACACGATGTCTGTGTTTCCATTCAGTGCTGAGCCGTGTGGTAAATTGTGATTATTTTTTCTTTCCTGCCCAACTTTTTGTTTTCCTTAGGGTTATTCATTGCCTCCTTTTTTCATTTGCTTAGTTTCCCATGTACTAATAATACTAATGAAGTCCTCAACTCTCCACCAGGCCTTCTGAGTGTCCTCCCAGTGTGTTCAGTCACTTTGACCCCCTAGAGGGTGTTTCCCCTGGAGCCTCTGTCCCCCTCCAGGCCCAGTGACGGGCTAGGCCTGGCACACATCCTGGGGCTCTGCCTTGGTGCTCCTACGTTGGATCTGTTTATCCAAGTTCCTGTGTCCCTCTTTCTTGGACTCCACACTCACTTGAGTAGCATGCAGATGTGGACACATACAGGCTGGGCCGTACCTGCCTATTGTTCTTTTGGGGGAAGGACTGGGGTGGAGGTGGGGGAGGTGTAGGTATGAGGAAGGGGCAGAGGGCCTGGGGAGTTTATCTCCCTGGATGGAGAGCGATCTTGTGTGGGTGCAGGGCCCTGAGTGAGAAAGTGGGCTCCTCACCCCTCCCCCTCCACCCACCTGCAGGGCTGCCCGGTCAGAACTAGGGTTTATTGGCTGGGCTGGTCCAGCCCCCGCCAGGTCTCCACCTCCGCCCCTGACTCCACTGGCCTGCACTAGTTCCCTTGGGGACGGGAACAGGGGTAAAGGAGGACAAGGGTAGAGGGACTCAGGATGGGGAGGGCTGTCTGGAGGCCCCTAGGTGTGCGCACACCCCCAGGCAGTCACTGACCCTGAGCTCAGCAGCCGTGAAGGAGAGCTTGTGCCTTCCCTCTGCCAGCCAGGGCCCACATAGGCTTCTGGGCACCAAGGGCTGGTGGGATGCCCTCTGGTGATTCAGGGCCTCGGGGGCCTGGAGCAAAAGGTGCCCTGAAGCCTGAAGGTCAGGTCCCTCAGCTGCTGGGCTGGCACTGCCTTCAGGTCCTGCAGAGGTGCAGCCCCCACTAATCACAGCGACACTGGCCACCCACCGGGACTGCAGCAGAGCCCTGTCTCCCGTAACTGGCCTCCCACCCCTTCTTACCCTCCCCTCATCGCTCCCTCCATGTCTCATCTGGGCCATGGAGGGGGTTGAGGGTGGCCCGGGGTGCAGGCCCCCTCAGGAGGGCCCCAGTGCCTGGCGGGTGAGTAATTCTATTTACCTTTCCTGAGAGGCCTCCTGTCCTCTCATTTGCTCCAATTAGCCGGCTGTGCCTGAGCAGCTCCAGCCCACGTGGCTGGCAGGGGCTGTGGGCACCCCCGCCCCCAGGGCCCAGCCATGCCTCCCAATAGTTCTAAGAGCAGGGACACCTGGCTGGCCCGCCTGGCTTCTGCTCTGCTCCTGCGGCCCCTCCCTCCTGTGACAGGGCCCCTCCCATGCACAACCCCCACCAGGCATCGCAGCTCTGCGGCAGGGCTGTTCTAGAGGGGTGACTGTGGCCCCCGTGTGGCTCCCACTCCTGCCCAGCCTCCAGCCTCTCCATCAGATGCTGCGCCCAGGCAGAAACTTGGGCCTCGGGATGCACCTGGGCCACCGCCCGCCCAGCGCACCACCTGGCTCTTCTCTGTCCAGCACTCAGCTTGTTCCTGGCCAGCGTCAGGCCTCACTGCCTGCCAGGCAGGGTGCCCAGCCCCACACAATGGTGGTGTCCTCTCTGTGCACAGCTGTCCTGGTGGACATGGACAGAGTGGCCAAGTCTCTGCCAGTGACTGTGCTGGGGGCGGGGTGCCGTGCGGAGGCCTGGGGAAGGAGCACGGCCGCCTTCATGTGGGCCATTCAGCTCTGGGATCCCTTTCTCTGGGCTTCAACCGGCTGCGTGGCCTGCCAGCTGCTCGGGTGGCTGGAGCCAGGAGGAAGCAGAGGCCAGCAGAGGATGGACATCCAGTCCCAGGTTCTCCAGCGATGCCCCCACTGAGCCAGTGTCCAGCCACGGCCAGTGCCCATGGGGGTCGGGAGCAGTGTGACGCCAGGGGCCTCCCTTAGCCACCATCCCGTCCTGTCCCGCTGCTGGCAAGTGGTGATCCTGGGGGACAAAGCTAGTGCAGGACTGTCCACTCAGCCCGGGGTGGGGGTGAGGCCACCTGCGCTGGATAGGAGGGTAGCCAGACCCTGCTCCCGGTGGGGATAGGGAGGGGCACTGTCAGCCACCACTCACACTTTGGGTTCTCTCAGGGGTGCCAGCTCCAATTCATCTGCAAAATGGGGGCTCCCAGAGGAGAGCACCAGCTCGGGGTTAGGAAGATCCCCATCGGCGGAGGCCCTGGGCCCAGCTGGCTCCTCCCCAGCCCCACTCTCCAGGGCATGCACGGCGGCCACTGCGTGGGCTCTTTATTGTTGGAGGGCACACAAGGACACATTTCCTCCAACCGCCGACACACACACATGGGACGCAGGGGCATGCACTCACAAGACAGCTTCCCGCCACACCCAGGCCCACTCGGTTCCCCACCCCACCCCTGGGCACAGAGCGGGGGTGGGGAAGGGAGGCCCCACCCCTCAGACCACCGCACTGGGGACGTGGACAGTGAGGCCACTCCAGCCACCCCCCCCCGGCCTCTCAATTGTTCATTGGTGCCCTCTGGGCTCCTGAGTCCAGCCCCAGGTGGGGTTCTGGGGGCTTCACAAGGAGCTCTGGGCCAACCCGGGGAGGCTGCCGGCCACGTGGGTCTCCGCAGAGGGGTCGTGGCTGGCCCCGTTGCTGTCGTGGCCCCTGGAGAGCAGAAGCTTCTCGCTGGTGGGCCTGTCCAAGGCCCGGTGGCTACTGCCCTGGTGCTCCTCCCGCAGTACCTCGTCCATGCGCCAACGGTGCCAGCTCCTCAGCAGCTCTGCCTGCACCTGGGGCAGCCCGCAGGTCGGGCCAGGCCCAGTGCCCGCCAGTCCCGCCCCCCCAGGATCCCCAACCTCTGGCCCTGAAGAGCCGAATGGTACCCTGGCCGTGGAGCAAGCTGGGCTTTGTCAGCATGGATGCCGGGGTCTGCGGACGGCTGGTACCCCTCACCCTGTGCACCCCCTGAGGACAGGGCTGAGGCCTGGCACCCAGGCCCCTAGCAGCCGCTGGGCAAGTGCAGGTGGGCACAAAGGCCAGGTGCCCATGCTCCACTCTACCCTGACCCGGGCTGGTCCCAGACCCTCACCTACCTCCTTGTTGAGAAAACAGTACAGGACAGCGACCAGCAGGCCCTGCAGAGAGGGGGTGGTCAAGGCGGCCCTGGGAGGGGGGGGCGGGCACCTGGGGGGGGCAGGCACCTGGAAGGAGCTGAGGAAGAGATCGAAGAAGAGCTTCGCGAAGCGCAGGGTGCCCTGGGCATGCTCGTCCGTCACAAAGGCGAACACCACCTCGTGGACCCCCAGCAGGGGGATGAGGGTCAGCGTGGACTTGGCCAGCCTGTGGGGGCGGAGCCTGAGCCACAGGCACTGGGTGCCTCCCCCCCGGGCGCCCACCCCGGCCGCGCCCGCACCCACCGGAACTTGTAGTCGGTTTGGCGCATCTGGCGGGCTCGCAGCTTGGCCACGAGGATGTGAAGGACACGGATGAAAACGAAGAAATTGATCTGCGCGTGGAGGGCAGGGCTCAGGGCGGCCCGGGCCCCACCGCTGCCTCCTGGCTCCCGAGGCCCTGGGGCTGGCGGGCACCCAGCCAAGGACCGGCAGCCCAACCCCAGGCCAGGGCGCCGGCCAGCGTCCTGGCTCGGTGCCGGGCTCCCTCCAGGTCCGCCCAGGCAGGATGCTGTCTGTCTCCTGGGCCACCGCAGGCCCACGGGGAAGGGGGGCTGGAGGCCACCTCACGGCCCCCCACACCCCTCCCTGTGCAGCCAGCAGGCGTCATTTCCTCACCAAAATGGCCAGGAAGACGGGGAAGCGCAGGATCCACCAGAAGCCCATGTTGTCGTTGCTGGTCCAGCACCTGGAGGGTGGGGCTGGCTCACATCCTGCAGCCCCCCAGCCCCCCAGCCCCCAGCCT